TCTGGGGCTCCGTGAGGTCCTAGTAAACCTGTATCCTATACTCAACAATTTACCATGATAAACCTGTATCATATATACAACAATTATCTAGTAAACCTGTATCCTATATTCAACATCAATTAACTGGTAAACATTTACCTTTAAGGTAACCCTCTCTCCCTTTCCCCTCCCAGAAAAGAGAATTTATATTTTCCCATTTAAAATTCTGTTTGAATATATTTAAACATATTCTAGAATCCCCTAGATGAGAGGAATGAAAGAATAACATATTATTGGAACCTGAAACCAAATAAGTTCTGAAACTTCTCAATAGCATCTAAACTATATTTGACATAGATGTTTCATTCTAAATTCGTTGACTGAAAGGATCTGTTAGCGTAATTTATAATTGTGATCCTCATTTAAACACGTTCGATGTACAACAGTAGTAACCAATTAAACTTTTTCCGGGGAATATGTAAATAAAGGAGAAATATAAACAAAAGAGGAATATAAACAAAAGAGGAATCTAAAAAAGGAGAAATATAAAAAGGATAAATATAAACAAAGGAGGAATATAAAGAAATAAGGGATTTAAGTAAGGAGGAATATAAACAAAGAAGGAATCAATACAAAGGAGGACTTTAAACAAAGGTCGAATATAGACAAAAGTTGAATATAAACAAAAGAGGAATATAAACAAAAGGGGAATATAAACAAAAGAGGAATATAAAGAAATAAGGGATTTAAGTAAGGAGGAATATAAACAAAGAAGGAATCAATACAAAGGAGGACTTTAAACAAAGGTAGAATATAAACAAAAGTTGAATATAAACAAAAGAGGAATATTAACAAAAGAGGAATCTAAAAAAGGAGAAATATAAAAAAAGATAAATATAAACAAAGGAGGAATATAAACAAAATGAGGAATATTAACAAAGGTGGAATATAAACAAAAGAGAAATAATAACAAGGGTAGAATATAAACAAAGAGGAATATAAACAAATAAGGGATTTAAGAAAGAAGGAATAAAAACAAAGGATAAATATAAACAAAGGTGAAATATAAACAAAAGAGGAATATAAGTAAAGGTAGAATATAAACAAAAGAGGAATATAAAGAAATAAGGGATTTAAGTAAGGAGGAATATAAACAAAGAAGGAATGAATACAAAGTAGGAAAGCAAACAAAATAGGAATTTAAACAAAGGAGGAATATAATCAAATGTGTAGTATAAACACAGGCTAAATATAAACAAAAGAGGAATTTAGCAAAGGAGGAATATAAACAAAATAGGAATGTACAAAAAGAGAAATATGAACAGAGGAGGAATATAAGCAAAGGAGAAATGTAAACAAAGGAGGTGTATAGACAAAGGAAAAATATATGAAAGAAGGAATATAAACAAAGGAGAAATTTAAAAAAGGAGGATTATAAACAAAAAAGGAATATATACAAAGGAAGAATATGAACAAAGTAGGAAAAAAAGGAGGATTATAAGCAAAAAGGATCTATTAACAAAGGAGGAATATATACACATAGAAGAAATATGAACAAAGAAGGAATATAATCAAAGGAAGAATATGAAAAAGGGGGAATATATAAAAGGAGGAATATGAACAAAGGAGGAATATGAACAAAGAAGAAATATAAACATAGGCGGAATATAATAAACTTACTATAAACTTTGAGAAAACTAATGAAATTTTATTTTTAAATTTTTCAAATGTGCAAAACTACTGTCCCAATGTTTTCATTAAACTAGGAGAAACTACACAAAAAATTGAACGCATAAAGAAAACAGATTCAGTTAGATTCTTTGGAATATGGTTGGACACAAAATTTTAAAAAGATATACTAGCGATTAATGTTTTCACTTTATTCCATGAAAAAAAATATAGATTTTCTTAATTTTGAAACCATGGAATTGCTCTTTTAATCTTTTTTTCCACTCTCGTTTAGAGTTTAGTTAAATATTTCTAATACTTTAACTTCAAACAAAAATATTTATAAGCTAGAAACATTGCGAAAGAAAGCTGTTTGTCTTTTTATAGGGTTACCTAGAATAAGTCACACAGCGCTGAAGCTGTTTGGGCTTAAAACATAATCCCACTCAGACCATTAGTAATGTTTATTGTTGTAAAATTGTTATCTCAATTTAAATGTAAAAAAATATAAAAGATTCAAAACTTAGAAACAAAAACGATTTTATATTCCTAGAGTTAAATCTTTCAAAATCAGACTGCTTCCTCATCACAATTTCCCTAAGATATGGTATAAAAAAACGCCACTTTTCTAAACATTCAATTATCAAACTTATTTTGAATTTTAAAAAGAATTGAATTGAAGATTTTTATCAGAAGAACCAATGTCTTGATTTTAACCAAGGTTATAGCAAGAAATATATAGACCAGGAACCGCCATATCTAATGCGTCAAATTTGTGTACTGCAGTGGGAGGCGATCAAAACAAAGAATTCAGGGGCAAAACATCAATTATGAGGGGGGGGGTGAAATAAAGTATATTGCTATCGTAGACACGAATACTGATTATAAAACGAAAGACTATTTGTTACTTGAGAGTATATGCTTTAAAGACAGGAGAGGGAAATGATAATATCCAAGATTATATTCAAATTGTAAAACGTTATATAAATTGGGATGTTTTAATCAAAGCAAAAACAATTCCTCACTCCATAGGAATCAATGCAAAGAGGAACTGTAGACATGCATAACAAGACTGCACAGTGCACACATAATTGTGTCCCTAATAAATAAAGATGTATGCCTGATTCACAACGGTACCTTTAAAAAATTTTCGGGAAATGCCCATTGAATATTAGTCATTAAGAAATAAAACCTTCTAACATAAAATTCGAGAAAATGTTATTCATATCATAATATATTTATTCTTATACACTTTTTAACATTCTATTTTAAAACAAGAAGACCATCAAGCTTTTAACTACACCATAATTCTAAAACATCTCGATACGGAGATAATTAACTAGTTTCTTTTGTTTTTGACTGTAACATCACTCTGTTTATCAGTGTTTAATCCTTTCTCTTCAACTGCTGTGGGGGCACTGGATTTGTTTACATTCCTACCACAGTGTACAGCACACAATTTGCGTATATCTGAGTTGGGCGTTCCTGGTCTATATATTTGTTGGGTTATAGAGTATAAGGTTAAATAAATGCGCTCCAGAGCCCGAAATTTAAAAGAGTATCGTTGAATGAAACTCCCGAGTTTTCATTTCGGGGTCTTAAAATTTGTGTAGATTTTAATTTAAGAGATTCGGAAAAAAGGAGAGTATGAAGAAACTAAATAATATAATATTTCATAACAAAAATATT